TTATTTATTTGAAAATTTTCCGGAGATACATATGAGCTTATGAACCGCTTCGATGTTTTAAGAGATACAACGGTATATAAGAGTGTGATTTATGATGGCAGATGAAATATACCCTTTACGAGGGTGGAGTGAGAGGAGTTGCTGTGCTGTGGTCACCAAGATTGCGTAAAGCAGCACGTGTGTGCAACAACCTGATGCACATAACCGACTGGCTGCCAACCCTCTATGCCGCCGCTGATGGCGATCTGAGGGATTTGGGGAAGATCGACGGGATGAATCAGTGGCGCATGTTGAGCGGCGGCTATCCAATAGTCAGAGACAAGCTGCTGCTGAACATCGACGAGATTTCCAAGACCGAGGGTGCCATATACAAGCAGTACAAACTTCTTCGAGGTACTTTGTTATCATGAGTGAATGAAATAACACAATACTATTTATACGTGACGGTACCTGGAAATTTCCTTATAAATAAGTCTTTCAACTAAAGTTTCAAAAGTGAAACTTATAAAAATATTATAATCGTAAAATCATAGAATATTGTAAATCGATATTAATCTTTAAAGTAGGTGGGTGGGACGGTCGAAACACTCAAATAAAATTTTATCTTTATAGTTATTTTTACTTATATAAATACTTTCAGTACTCAACTTGTTTTTATTGGCTTTTAGTACTTACAAAAAAACTTACATCTTAGGATCGATCGAGAACGGTCATTATGACGGACATCATCGACACGATTTTGAAAGAAGTTATAATATATTACCCCCGCTTTTTGGCAACAATTCGAGAAAAAACATACAGGAGGATGTGCCACCATACACCGAGACCATTCTAACAAGTGCGGTATCACAGAGCATCACCTATCATTTGGGTGGTCCAGTTACTCAACCCAGCACAATGGTTCAGTTACGTAACGAAGCTACAGTCTCTTGTCGCTTCAATGTTAGTTATTATACTTTTGTCACTTGTAACGTCACCGAGTGTCTCTTCGATATCGAGAACGATCCCTGCGAAACGAAGAATATCGCCGAGCAATATCCGAGGGTGGGAAAACATTAAATCTTTTATAACTGAATTAAGAAAGGGCATCTTGTATCAATTTCTTTTCTTCTCACAGATCGCTCGGGAACTGGATCAGATTCTGGAGCAATATGCACGGAATATCGCAATGCAGATCAAGCCGCCAGTAGACTGGCTCGCTGATCCAAGAAGAACGAACAATACGTGGGAACCGTGGATACCATCAGGCGATATATTTGTGTACAACGCGGCTGCTCAACTGGTCGGTTTGGCGTATTATCTTCACATCGGGATCATCCTCGTAGCAGTCGTATGCAAAGCTTTCGTTTGAACAATTCGAAACGCAGATGTGCACGTAATGAAATTCCGTCGGTCCAATTAAAGTATTCGCTATTACGTGGAGCCGATTTCGAAGTTCGAGATCAAGAGGCATTCCTGCGTTTTCGTTTTTCTTTCACGCGTTTCTTTAGAAAGAATTACGTTGTATAAAATATGCAAAGTTATTGCACAACATTATGAAGCATGCGACGAGTTTATTTTTACACACATAAATTTCCATAGAACCTTAACGTGAACTATGTCTGAATCAGCATTTACATTATTCGGCGAATTAACATTTATTTTATGTATGCTTATTGAATAGCATCACAACAGTTTTCTTTTTGCTGTAAGGCGCTTCGTATTTAAAAGTTTTCTTTTTGCTGTCACATGGACATTTATGAATAAAAAATAATACTCGAAATAGCACTCAATTGTCACGATAAGATGAGATAACAGGTCTGTTTTTTATTTTTGCATTAGACTGCATTAGAATTAATTATTTTTTTCGCTTTCTCCAAATGTCAATATATTCATCTCATTTTAAGTTCCAAGAGTGTATATTATTTTAGTCACAGAAAACAGACCTAAGATGAAATCTGATTGTAAGATTTAATTAATGGTATTTCACTGTTCAAGGAATCGACTAGGTCAAGAAAAATTCAAAAATGACTTTATTTTGACATCATAAAAGTTTAAATAATGATTTTTTTTTATAAAATTTGAAATTAAGAATCAAAATAAAGACGTTTTGATTTTTTATTAACTTTTATGTGTTTCTTGAGTACTTGTAGATTTATTGAATTTTACATTTTAACATCATTGTAACATTGTGTGTTACTTTAATTAATAATCCCACTTGGACTGGAGATATAGCTTATCCTACTGTATCTTTATTCTGAAACAAATAGGAAGAAAATTATGTAAAGAAAGAAAATCTTATCTCAAATGATTCTTGGCAAAAAAAATTTCGATAAAAAAGTACAGAAAAACTACATAAATTAGGACAAGATTTTAAAAATTCTTAGTTTTTCAGATATTCGTGGAACGTAGAGTGGCGTTGTTTGTTTCATGATACCAGATACATAAAAATGTGTAATACAATAAAAAATACAATGTCAGAAATCGTATACAGAAAGGATTTCTTGGTTTTTAAAATAAACAGTGCCACTCTACGTCCTATTATGAATATCGAAGGAAAACTAAGAATTTCTAAGATCTTATCTCAATCTACATAGTTTTTCATAAAAATTTCACACATAATTTTAAATTAATAGTCTTACTAATTATTTGACAATATTTTTATTTAACTCTAATACGTGACTTTACCGAGAATCGACGGTTCTTTTTAGACTGATCTAAACTTACTGGTTATGAAATATCTCAATTAATACGCATTCAAATCTGTTTCTTTCAGTGTCTTTCTTCATAATTAAACGTGTCAGTTTAAATGGATCAGTTCTAAGCAGAATCGTAAAGTTCGTAGTTCTCGTAAGATTTGTAAAAATTTACAACTGCTTATAATTTTATGTAATATCTTTACAGACAGCCTTTTGCTAGCCGTAAGTTTTACGAGAAATGGTAGGTATTAATGAATTATCGTTTTATGGTACATATACACATAGAATTATAATATTAGTTATAAATTCTTACAAGTTTTATGAGAACAAATTATGAGTCTCACGATTTTGCTTAAAATTGACCGATCAGTATTTTATTGCTTAATTTGTGCTAAAATCATGCAATCGTAAAGGTAAATTATTATTTAATTAAATTTTAGTATCTTTTTTAAATTAATATTTTATTATTACAAATAATTATATTATGTATCTCTTTGAATTAAATAATTTATAATTAATCGCACTAATTATAACTATGTGCATACATTGTACATTAGATAGGAATGTATAAAAACTTTAAAATAAACTCAATATCCGAATATTTGTAATGTTTTCTAAAATATCTTTTCAATATGGTTCCCTATATATTAAATGAAAAAATATTGTACTTACAAATGATGTATATGATAATTTTAACTTTACACACACACACACACACACACACACATATTATCTCCTCACACCATTTTAGTTTTTTAGTTATGATAATAATGCTATAACACCGCAATGCGCATTCGTATTTTTATCATTTAACATTATAATATAACACTGTATGTTTCATTTTTAGGTGTCGTTGCGACGTTAGATAAATCGATCGATTGAATAGTCGATACTCTAAACAGAAAATATATGTTAAAGAATACGATCATAATTTTTATGTCCGATAATGAAGCACCGATTAAAAGACTTTTGACAAATTACGGATCCAATTATCTATTACGGGAGATAAATGCAGCTTTGTTCAAACAAATATTATTAATCAATGGTCCGTGATCAAGACAAAGAAAACTGGCGAGCGGAAATTCGTTGTCATAAATATCCGGAATTTTGATAACGTACAGTATTAATTGGACATCATAAACTCGTTAAAGGTATATATCAGTAAAATTTTTTATTACTAAATATAATATTATTATAAATTTTCTCTCTTTTCTCTCTCTCTCTCTTTCTCAAGTTTTTAATTTCATCAAGAATTAGTTCAAGTATCAGTTTAAGAATAAATGATTAATAGAAAAATAAATTATGATTTTTTTTTATACAGATAAGTTCGAATATCAGAAGCATTATACTTATTATAATGATAGACCCGTCATATCCTAAGTACATGATAAATGTATTAGAATCACCAGTCACATTAGCCATAGCAAATGTTTCAACTCATGTTGTGACTGCAAGTAAAATAAAAGAGCTCCGGAAAGAGATCACATTACTTTGTGAGAATCTTACGAATTCTTCCAGTTGCGAGAACCGTGCTTGTTTGTTCGATATTTATAAAGATCGAAATTACAGATATATCCTCGAAGTATCCTAACGTAAGATTAAATTAAAATTGTAAAATAACCATTTAGGGGAAAGAGGGTATTTTAAAGTAGTGAGAACTGCAACTCATTTCTTGCATTTAGTGATAGTGCGATTATGCTTAATGCCACATTATACAACACGTGAGTATAAAACGCACACGCCGTTTCAAATAAACATTATTACATTATTGATAATTTTGGTATAAGCAAGAGTGAATTGCAAATATCTAAGAAAAAATTTATATAAAATCGACTATGATTTATCAAT